CCCCAAAACCCCAAAACCCCAAAACCCCAAAACCCCAAATTTTTTATTTCACGTTGAAATAAAAATGTCTCAAACAAGAATTCCTGATTATCTAATGGGCGTTGTAGGCCAAAAATATTCTCTAAAGACTTCAAGAGCTCCTGTAGGTGCCATTTTCTTAATTCTAAATCCTGGTTATCGATCAAGTGTCTAACAAATGTTTAGAAAGAAAATAGCCAAAGACGGTTACTCCAAAACAGTAAATTCTTGCTATGAACTCTAGATCTCTCTCATAATGATCGCAGCCCAGAGCAGGGAAAGTTCACGGAAAACCTGAAAAGAATCATAACTTTGAGAATAATGAAGAGGTTCCAGAATTCCTTCCGAAATGAGGTATATTTCATCTCAAAATTTAGACACTTGAAAAGAAAGTCCATGAATGGATTGATAATTATAAGTAAAATTAATTGTTAAAATTCATAAAACGAATTACTAATATAGAAGGAAAATTACCACAGGAGTCCCTATTTTCACAGAATCTGTTATTAAGGAATGCGTCAGGGATATTCAGCTCAGGTATGAAAGAATGGTTAATATCTAGTGAATGTTCAACCAAAGTCTCCATGCCAACTCTGCAGAATTTTAGGTAATAAGAAAGTCTAATCAGTAGGAATAAGAGTAGTATCAGGTCATCTAAAAGAAGCATGATTTATACTATTGGTGACAGTCAGAGAAGTGTCGGTGAGGTTTTACTTCGATGCAGGATTTAAGACTGTTTAGACATTAGCGACAGATATCCAGAAAATCTTAACAGATCAATAGTAATGAATAATTTTGATGTTTAGAAAACACTTGAACAGCCAACATCGTCTTTTAGAGAACATAGTTATCGAAGAATTTCTCCAGCGAGCTCAAGATATAGATATGGTAATCTAGAGTTTATCTTAATATTTAGAAAATGACCACCAGAATATAAGCAAAACTAGGAATAATAATTCTGGTCTTTCATTTTTCAAGTACTCTTCTTTTCTTAAATCTAGATAAACTATCCAAAAATCTATCAACAAGACGTGAAAAAGCTCCTGATCTTTCAAATGTAATACCCCAAAATCACTTCAAACTCCTCCTTTTCTAAATTTTCAAAAACCTGAGCATTCTCCTGACCCTCAAGAACCCTCCTAATCACTTTCCCACCTCTTCTCTCCCCTTAATCCTCCCATTCCCTCACTTTCACTCAGAACCTCGACACTCCCGACATCAAAAACCTCGCCTTCAACAAACGAAACTTCAAACAAATGATGCTCCAAAACATCGCTTTATCCAGCTCTCGTAAGCCCTCCCCCTCACCCTAGGCCAAAAAGCCGCACTCAAATCCGAAAAACTGGCTGACAAAGCACTCGCCACCCAATTCAAAATCGTACTCTAACCCCTTTTACACTTAGGATCTGGACCAAGACATTAAATGTCAAAATGAGCAGAAAATAAAGACTTTTAGAAGAACAAGGGATTTGTTCATGTTTAATAAACAAACAGCAGATTCCAAAGCTTTTGAGAAGAAACAGAGCAAGGACTTTGACAGTAAATCTCCTCTGATCCTTAGAAATCGCCTGTGCTGACTATAAGTATTTGCTTGACGCCCAAGAGCTTGAAAGGTAGGTGAGAAGGGGGTGGATTGACATGTGGTATAGGAAACAGAAATCTCAGGAGGTGAATGATCATGTTATGAATGTATTGAATAGGACAGATGGGTTCAGCTCTTACAGAGGGTACTTGGAGGGGTTAGTTTGTATAGACTTGGAGTAGAATCATGTGTACATCAGAAAAGAGGGAATGTTAGCAACTTGATTCAGAAGCGTAGTGGTAATTGAATTTGGTGGCCTTATAAATGAGCAATTGGATATTAGAATTATTAACATCTTAGGATGAGATAATTACAAGCAACTCCAGGAAGATATAGAAAAAGAGGCTGATAAATAACCACATGAAAATCCTAAGACTTAAAGCTATAAAAGAACAAAGAACTGAAAAATATATTGAAAAAATCAAGTAAATATTCTTAAAACTCTCTAGAAAATCAGCGAGACTACAAAACACAAAGGATCTCGTAGCCCAAATCCTAGAGAAAAGTACTCTAAATCTCCCTAAGGTCTCATAGGAAACATGGCTAATATCAAGAAGAATGACAGAAACCATCAGAAATCCCTCAACTTGACTTCTCTCAATCAGGAGAGAAGAGTGACGAACCCACAAGAGTTTAGCTTTTATCATTAACTTAGTAAAGCCGGTTCAGCATGCACAAAAATATATGGGGTTTTGGGGTTTTGGGGTTTTGGGG